AATTTGCATATATTTGCATTAGGTATGTTGCATTGTGTATAATAAATTGAAAATTCATCCTTTCTAATTATTAGGATGCTCAACATTTTAACTCAATTTTACCTCTTGTAATATATTATTCATAAATAATTTTGCACAGTTGATAGTGCTACTAACACCACTGTTGGTACAATTACTGTAATTAATGACTCAGCCAGTCTATAAAGGGAAATACATTTCTTTTGTTGTATTGCTTTTATATTTTTTAGCTGTCTGACATTTGAGGAAACCAAACGGGAAGGATAGAATCCAATAAAATACCAGTTTGGAACAGATTTGAAAATATTTGGTTCCAATTATGGTTTTCATACAGTGCGTGTATGTGTATATGTATAATTTTCATTTTGATTCAGTCATCTATGGAAAATTTTAATTAACATTTGAAGATGGTTTGAGGTACAGCACTTTAGGCTATTCATTTTGATTCTTAACTCGTGGTTTCCCGCCTCTACCTGACAGAGAGGAGAGTATAAATTCTCCTTGGTTTGTCTATTACATACCGGTTACAATATGTGTAAGTAAAACCTTTCAGGGGGGTGTAATAAAAATTAGGTGGAATAAGTCTTTTCTTGCATTTGAGCAATTTGAATTTTAAAGATACATCATATTTTGACTTTTAGGTTGTTTTGGCCTAAACGTGTGAAGCTTCTTTACATAACAGTTAGTTAACCAAAAGTGGCATGTTTGGTTTTCAGATACAAATAACATTGATTGTTTTAAGTAATGGGGTCTTTCTGTAAATACACACAGAAAAGGAATAAGGAAAAGAGGTGTCTAGGGCCTCATGGGAACCATGTAACAGGAATAGAACTGGAAGTCATGTAAAAACAGCCACAGAGACGCATATCTGAGCTACATGACAATCAGAATGTAATTTGAGAACTAGGAAGTTTATATTGCCCAAGATCCAATTCTAGCCTTATGGAGCCATCATGTCGTCCTCAATAGCAGAAGTTCATGCAGCCCAACTGCAGTGCTCTGCTGTTATTGCTCCTCAGCTGTGGGTATGGTCTCTAGAAAGTCACCCTTAGGTAGCTCTTCTTTGTGTTCCCATGGTGTTCACTGGGTCTTGCTATTGTGATATTTGACACATTGTATTTTAATCCTCGTTTTCTAGTCAGACAGCTCTATGAAATTGTGAAGTCATGTCTGCTTTGGTCATCTCTGTATTCCTAGCTGCTGGCTTGTCTCTGTCGTTTTTTAGTCTTTGCTTCCCTTATCGGCTGCTTTTTAAAAATATATATATATTTTTATTGATTTCAGAGAGGAAGGAAGAGGGAGAGAGAAATAGAAACATCAATGATGAGAGAGAATCATTGATTGGCTGCCTCCTGCACGCCCCCTACTGGGGATCAAGCCCAAAACCCGGGCATGTGCCCTTGACCAGAATCAAACCCGGGACACTTCAGTCCACAAGCTGACACTCTATCCACTGAGGTATACCAGCTAGGGCTATCTGCTGCTTTTGATTGACTTTCTTTTTAGGATTCAAAACGTTCTCAAGGGGGGAATTAAATTTGTTCCTGTGGTCACCATCTCCTCTGTGAGGTAGAGCTTTTGTGCCAGCTTACTTACTTTATAGGCTGTTGGTGTACACAGTGGCTGCCCTGATCCAACAGCTGAGGCCAAATCAATGAGTGTGGTATCAGCATAGCAGTTGATGTAGTCATGTTTGTCAGGGGGTCACTCTGAGACTCGGGCTGTCCAGTACAAGAGATCACAGCTCACACTCCCAAAACTTGAGAGATTAAATGCATATATAACGTAAATCAGTTATCATTCAGCCACTTCTCTATGAACTACTTTCTTTTAGACTAAAGAGCTAATATTTCTTTTGGGAAGAAGTATGAGCTCAGCTTTCAATGCGCAAAAATTTCATTTCCTTTATTAACAATCTTGGTAACAAGAACGTTGCTGAGAAATAGGGCACAGTTACGCATGAAACTCCAATCTACTGGTGTATCAACTTCAAAAGAATACATTTTTTTAAGAAAAAGTTTTTTCGTTTTTGGCACTTTGGGTGACTAATTTATACTCTATAATTTGTTTTTGAGATAAGCCAAATTCACCAAAATTAGGCCCGCTTGACCCTACCTTTAGTTACATTCATTCCAAAGAAGCATCTTCTGACCACACTGGCACTTCAAAATGTTTGTTTATTTCTTTGTCTCTGATCACCTAGCTCTTTAGAACCTTTCTTATTACCTGAGGAGCTAGGAAACAGCACAAGGTATTTTAGCTACTGTGATGTTTAATTTATTTGTCAGATTGGCTAGCCTATGGTGCCCAGCTGTTTGGTCAAACACCAGTCTCAATATCACTGTGAAGGCATTTTGTAGACATGATTAACATTTAAACCAGTAGACATTGCCAAAAGCAGATTATCCTCCACAGTGTGAGTGGGTCTCATGCAATCATTTGAAGGCTTTCGCAGAAAAGACTGAGGTCCCTGGAGGAGGAGGAAGTTCTGCTTCCAGACTCAGGACTGTAGCATCAACTCCTGCTGGGTCTTCCAGCCTGCTGCCTGCCCTGCAAATTTCAGACTTGCCAGCCCCCCACGATCACATGGGCCCCAATTCCTTAAAAGGAATCTCTCCCTCTATGTACCAGTATGTGTATATATTACACACACACACACACACACACACACACACACACACACACACACTGCATTGATTCTATTTCTGTGGAGAATTCTGCCTAATACATGTACTATCAGCCTTATTAGTGAAGTGGGATTATTCACCCTCCTGGGAATAAAGTAGATCAATTATTCTAAAACAATGGGCCAACGAAAGTGTCCCCTTCCCTAGTCTCAACCAGAGAGCCTTGACTTTTATTTATTTTATATATTAGAAGATGGTGTAAATGGTGCTTTAAAAATTCCACTGCTAAAAATAAAGCTTGGAAATTAGAGGGCTATGTTAGGATGGACCAATTTCTCAAAGTGTGGCATCTTCAGGACATCATAAAAATAAAAGGCCAAGAGGCATCATGACCAAAACGACCAAACGACCGGTCGCCATGAGGTGGCATTGACCACCTCAGTCCGGGTCCGGTGGGTGGCGGTGGTGGCTGGAGCAAAGCAGCCTGGGTCCTGGGTGCCTGGCAGCAGCTGGAGCGAAGCAGTCTGAAGGAAGGCCTATTCTTGCATGAATCTTCGTGCATTGGGCCTCTAGTCCTATATAATAAAAGCGTAATATGCAAATTGACCAAATGGCCAAACAGCAGAATGACCATCAGACGACCATCTGGGACCACACTATGACACCTACTAGTGCCAGGCCAGCCAAGGCAGGTGTGATGTGATCGGTCAGGGGCTGGGCCTTCGTCCCATGATCGCCCCACAGAGGGAGGACCAGGCCACTGACCGGCAGGCTGTGGTGGGTGGGTGGGGTCTCCCTCTGCGAGGGCAGCTGGAGGAAAGCCCAGGTCCTGGGTGCCGGTAGCCCTAGGGAAGCCCTGGTCCAGGTGCTGGAGGGAAGCCGGTGCCGGCAGCTGGGGGAAGGAAGGCCTACTCCTGCACGAATTTCATGCATTGGGCCTCTAGTTTTAAATAAACATTTCAGTGTAATTTTTGACTGATGAAGAGGTAATATCCCAAAATGTATTCAATATATTTTTTGTAGCCTATAAAGATATTTTCTCTCTGATAAGGATTTGTCAGGACATATCTCTTTCTAGTAGCTTGATTCTACCAGCTCTGTAAGTTCTATAGGTAAGAAAATATAATTGACTTTGCTTCCTAGATGAAAGTCCATCTTCTTGAGTGGGCTTTCACTAGTGCAGCAATCTCTAAAATCATGAAAGGCAGGGAATGTGTATTGTATCATACTCCCAACTTGTTTTTACAGGATTGGTGAAAATACTGAACCAAGATGTGGACACAGGACCAGGGGCTGGGTGGATTCTCTTTGGTGGTTGGGACGGAACTTGAGAAGGAAGGAGAAACTGGACTGATGCTCATGAGGTTCTACAGCAGTGGCGGCAGGTGTGAGGGGAAGTAAAACCTGTGCTGTTGTGGGTTGAAGTTTTGATAACATTGTGGTAGCAGAACACAGCGGTGGGCTTAAAAGAATTCTATTTTTTAGCTGGAATTTTCAGCAGATATTATGTCAAAATCCTCTTCATCATTTAGTAGCACTGTTTGTTTGGGATTAATATAAGATACACCTTGTCATGGAAATGGCCTTCCGGAAATAGCTGATAAGCTGGGCCCTTACTACCTGGCTCTGGTAACCATGAGGTTTTAAAGTGTCTCTGAGCTAGAAGGCCATCATGTTGGCTTTTCTGTAGATGGGGAAGGGGATTCGGTGGGCAAGTAGGATCCTGAACAGAGATAAATTGGGGGAAGAAAGTTGGGGGGGGGAGAAGGGGGAGATTGAAGCTTTGCCCTTAATTCACAGAGAGTGTGTGACTCTGGCTTAAAGTAAAAAGCTTCAGGTGGTCATCTGGCAGTAAAAGATTTCTTTTAATTCCACCTGTTCTTGAACCTGTAAGCAATCACAGAATTCCAGTCCAAATCAAAGGTACAACACACCAGAGTTATATAGCAGGCCACTTTCTATTCCAGCTGTAACCACTTTCCACAGTGTGCAGGCCTACAATAAGGGACTATACAATTTGGCAGGTGTCACCTTTAACGTTCCCTCAGTGGAACGAGGTACACCTTTATTAAAAATGTAGGGAAATTTTAGTAATCTACAGTTGGAAGAAATGATTAGTATTGCCTTGTTTTATACAGTGCACAAGGACCATTGACTACACTGCGAAGCTTGTAAAGGAGGTACTTTGCTTTGTAAACTGCTTTAAATAGTCACTGTTCAGGCCTTTTGGTTTTCCCATTTCATCTGCCTCATGATTTATTATTCTTTTCCATCCGTGGCCCCATTTAGGACAAAACATTTTAGCCAGGAAAGAGCAGAACATTCAGTCTAACGCTCTCATTTTACTGATGCCAGGCATGAATGATCTTCCAGTCCCGGAGCGAGTCTGATGGAGCTCTGGAACCAGACTCCTGCTCTCACCACTGCGCCATCCTGTCGTCCTTTATCATCTGTCTAAGAAGCCTCATTTCACATTTCCCAATCCTACTGTTCCTGAAGCAAAACAAAGTCAGTCCCTCAGACCCTGAAGTAGGATAAAGCAAATGTGAAGGTAAAACTCTAGGAGCTCCATTGCAAAGGAGGGTATGATTTATTACTACCAGCAATATGACCACAGGTAACATTCACCGAGGGCTTGCTGTGTTGCAGGCACCACACCAAGTGCTTTACGTGCACTGTCTCATTTGATCCTCACAACCAGCCGATGAGCAGGTCTACTATTATTCCTCGCTTGCAGTTTGAAAACTGAGGCTTGAAGGATAAGAAACGTGTCCCAAACCTACACAGGTAGAACCAAAAGTTAAGCACAGGCCCTGTGGCTCCAGAGCTCATGTGCTTCCCTGCGACACGGATTGAGTAAAAGCAGACAGACATTCCAGTTGGGTTGCAGTAGTGACTGAAGCAAAACAATTGCTACAAAAGGTAAATAATGAGACAACAAGACACCCATGGGCACCTGCTCCTGCCTTACCTCATGTTTGTGAAAATATGTACATTGTAAGGGGCTGGTGTCTCCATGATTTAACTTCTTATCTTTGTAAATAACTTACATACACGTAGGATCGGAAGGAACCTCAGAGTGGACCTATCCAGCTTTACTAGGCAAAGCCTCCCTTCTTCAGGATCCCTGCGAGAAGCCTGCAATCTTTGTTGAAGGCTAGTCTGTGAGAGAGGGCTTGTCCTTTGAGAGTCTGCTGTGGTTGTTTTTTCTTGTCCTGAGCCAGACGGAGCCCACTGCCCCTGTCCCCTTGCCCGCAGCCCTGGCCTGAGCTGTGAAGTAGAGGGGACCAGCCTGCAGCCTCTGCCCTCCGAGGCCCTGGAAGGACTGCCTCTTGTCTCTCCCCAGCCTTTGTCCTCATCAAGTTACAAATCCCCAGAGCTCCTCAGACCTCCGTGTTTTCCAGATCCCCCACCATTTATTGGGTGTCTTCTTCCAGGACAGAGTCTGGCTTTCCCCCTACGTCTCTCTCTGGACTATAACACAAGATATACTAGTAGTCTCATTGGTGCTGAATGGTGTGAGATATATTAGTTCCTGTGTTCTCGGGATTGTACTCCTATTAATACCTAAAGCTAAGTTAGCCAAAAAGCAACCACACTTTTTCCCAACTAATTTTGTACTTGTAATTAACTATATACTCGTATCTATTGATTTAAAGCCTAATATTCCCTCTCCTGAGACTAAATGTAAAACTTAACAGTTAATATTTATTTAAAGTGAAATTTTTTAATCCTCACTAGAGGATATATATTTTTTCCATTGATTTTCAGAGAGTGGAAGGGAGGGAGGGTTGGGGAGACAGGGTTGGGGCAGGGGGAGAGAGAGAAACATTGATATGAGAGACACATTGATTGGTTGCCTCCTGCAAGTGCCCCAACCAGGTGTGGGGAGGAAATCTGCAACCCAGGTCTGTGTCCTTGACTGGGAATTGAACCCATGATCCTTTGGTGCATGGGGCAATGTTCTAACCAGTGAGAAACACCAGCCAGGGCTAAAATGATTTTTATTTTAATCATTTTGAATCTCTGGTTTTTATGTGTTAATCAGTTATATGTAATTTTCTTTCATATTATTTATGGAAAATGTTGCTCCTGACAGGGCCAAGGACAAGAACTGGGTAGGTGGTATGATGTTAAGTAAACTTTTTTTCAGAACCAGTAAGTATTGTTTAGTTGGTTGTGCCTCTGCCTAAGCAGTATGATAATGTTAGCTTTCATCATTCTGTCCATAAAAACACCATCAAAAATTTTGTCAAGTGTTTTGCAAAAATTAAGACACAGTATATTTAAGGTAGTCCATTAATTTCCAAATTGTTTTAAACATGATTACAGATGACTATTTTAAAAAACAAATCAAGCTTCCACTGTTAAGAACTATGATGAATTCTTAGTCCATGCTGACTCCCAGAGACCGTTGATTTTTAAATCCTCTCAAGAAGAATGGGCAGCCCTAGCTGGTTTGGCTTAGTGCATAGAGCGTCAGCCTATGGACTGAAGGGTCCTAGGTTCGATTCCAGTCAAGGACACATGCCCGAGTTGCGGGCTTGATCCGCAGTAGGGGGCGTGCAGGAGGCAGCCGATAAATGATTCTCTCTCATCATTGATGTTTCTATCTCTCTCTCCCTCTCCCTTCCTCTCTGAAATCAATAAAAATATATTTTTAAAAAAGAAGAAGAATGGGCAGTATCTGACCACCAGCGTGGTCCTTGCAAGAGCCAGGTGAAGCAGGGAGGGTTTGGAAAGGTTAGAAATGACCCCTGAACGTGTTAGGCAAAACATGCAGGCCTACTTTTCAGAAGTGGAAACTGAAACTTTCTTAAAGTCACCTGCCCACTTCACATATACACATATATACATATAGGCACATATATGTGCCTTTTAAAAGGGTGGTGACTATATGTGACAGTTTGTGTCCTTTAATATAAGTTTTTGTTGAATAGTTACATTTTTATATTAGGCCATGTGATCATAAGTAAGATCCCTCTACCTCTTGGTATCTCATACCCTAGCCAGTTTTGTTCAGTGGTTAGAGCATTGGCCCATGGACTAAAAGGATGAGGGTTCAATTCCTGTCAAGGGCATGTACTTGGTTGCAGACTTGATCCCCGGCCCTAGTCAGGGTGCATGTGGGAGGCAACCAATCGATGTGTCTCTCTCAGCGATGTTTCTATCTGTCTCTACCCCTCCCTTCCACTCTCTCTAAAAATCAATGGAAAAAATATCCTTGGGTGAGAATCAACAACAACAACAAAAAGAAAGGCATCTCAAGAAGAAAAGAGTGTTCTAACTTCAAAACGTTCCACCTCAAAGTCATAAACTTCTGGCACAAATTACAGTGGGATTTGTCCCAATGATGTTAAGTTTATGATAAATTCCTTACAACAAATAACAGTTTGTTAATACTATTTCCCAACAAAGGCTTTTCTCCACGTCCACTCATTTAAAACTTAACAATATCAAATGTTACTGAACGCTTACTTTGTGCATGCTCAATGCAAAGCACCCTATATAGATCAGTGGTTCTCAACCTTGGCTGCACATTAGAAACACCTGGGAATCTTTTTAAGATCCTGATTTCTGGGCCTCATCCTCCGGAAATTCTGACAGAGGAGGGACTGAGGCTCTGTGGTTGTGTAGCTGACAGAAGTTGTGCAACCAGTGCGGGGTCAGAGCCAGAACGTGACACCGTGTCTGCCTCCTGAGGGCACATATGTGGTCAGTTAGTTTGCTCTTCCTTGTAGAATCTTTGGTCCTGATGTGTTGCTGGACTGTTCACATATTTGCCTTGTTTCCCAACTGGATTGTAGCCTATCTAAAATCAGATATTGTGATTCATTTATCTTGCTGTTTTCAAAAATACCTAGCATGCCGTAGCCTCAAAATAAAAGTGTACTAATTGACTTGAACATTATCTCTCAAACTTACAGATCTCAGATCTCCATTTCTCCATTTTGGGGGACTTGGTGGATGTTGCATGAATGAAGGATGAAGAACAAAGGTATTTCTTATTCTACAGGTATTTTTCAGAAGTAGACTCCTTTCTGACTATAATAATTCAAACATCGCCTTATTTAAGGTAAAATACATCAACATTATTATTTCATTTGCTTCCTCCTACTATATTTTATCACTTGTTCCTCATCTCCAGATAGCTAGTTGAGAAGCACTAGCCATTTGCTATGCATAGTTTGAGTTATTTATGTCCTATTTTTATTTCTCATTGGGGATTTCCTATAAACCATATCTAGCCCTCCAACTTTGCGGGGAGGGAGAAAAAGATGTGTGCTGGTCAGGTCTATTGCTAAATATATATTTCCTTTCTTTGAATCTGTACCGTGCGGTTTTTACCACAAGTGTAAAGTAAAGGTTAAAAGAGGCTAATTGGTACAAAAGGTCCTTAGGTAAAAAAAAAAAATCAAATTTGTCATAACATGAAATTTTACTTTGAATGCACAGTTGGTTTAATGTATAGATAATTACAATCAAAAGAATAACAGAATATTATAAAATGTAAATTCAACTGGCTATTGATCATTTATTGACTTAAATTCAAATTCACTATTCAAGTAGTTATAGCATTCTTAGATAATGATATAGCGTATTAGTATCATTTTAAACTTTCCTAACTTTTTACATATAACATTTATTCAATAGTTAACAAATATTTATTGAGCACCTACTATGTGTCAGGCTTAGTGCTCTGGAGTTACACTGGTAACCAAGACAGACAGACACAGACCCTGCCCTTATGGAACCAACATTCTAGAAAGACGAATTAAAAAAAAAAAGTAAAGTAACCAAAATGACAAAGAACTGCAAGTTGTAATAAGTGCTAAAAAACAACACCACCCAACATATCCCAGAACAAATAGGGGCTGGGATAAAGAATCAAGTTAGGGTAGGGTTGTGTGGCAGGGTAAAAATGCTTTCGATCGCATGGTTTGGTTTTGGCCTTTCTAAGGAGGAAATCTTTAACCTGAAAATTGAAGAATTAGTAGCAGATAGGTGAAACGTGTGTGTGTATACCCAACTCACAAAAAGGAAGCTGTAGCTATAAAGTCATTGAGGCAGGAAAGAATTTTGGGGGTTGAGGCACTGAGAGAAGCCTGGTATAGTTCTAAAAAGGAGAATGAAATGAGGGGCTGTGGTCACAGGTGAGGTTGCTGAGGTTGGTGAGGTGGGCAGGATCTGGACTGTGTGGAGGGTTAGGAGTCATTGACATGGAAGGGGTTTGCATCTTATTCTAAGTATGGAAAGCCATTGAAAGGTGTTAAACAGGGATGTGACAGGATCTGATCTACTGGCTCAGGACACTCTCAATGGGTGAGGAAAATAGATCCAAAGAGGAACAAGGAAGAACAAGAGAGACCTTGGGAAGCCACTATGGTTTTTGAGGTGAGAAATGGTGGTGACTTGGACCAGGTCGGTGGTAGTGAGAGTAGACAAAAATGGATGGATTGGTGGTGGGATGCACGTGGACGATGTGGAAGAGAGGAATGAAGCCTGACTCATCTTTTTGACTTGAGACAAATGTAATAGAATGTG